CAGCGGGTTGTGACTAATCCCTGTCCCTGCAAAGGGGGGGGGAAGCCAGGGGGGTGGCATCACCTCTCCCCACACCCTGCCTACGGGGCAGAAGCCCAAGGAAGGACATGGTGGGCACACTCCCAACACCCCCAGGGCACTCCCTGCCCAGGGGTACAGGCAGGACACCCAGGGAAGGGGATGAGGGAGAACCAGGGGATCTGCCCGCAGCCTGGCACAGCCCCATCCCCAAGGGGCTGCCTTCTGCCACCACCCTCATCTTCCTCCCAGTGCTGGCCCTCTGCTAGCCTCAGGGAGCCCACAGCCTTTCTACCGCTCACAGGGCCCAGTTTAGTAACAGCGCTATCGCTTAAATTAAAAAAATTAAAATATATATACATATATATATACTGTATACACAGACAACAACAGAACAGTGCCAAAATGGGAGGAAGAGACAGAGAGAGGAGAGGAGAGGAGGGCAGAGTCGGACATTTTCTTTACAATAAAAACAAGGGCTCCACCTCAATGCGAGTGGAGTCTGGGGTCCCCTAAAAATACCCATCTAGAGAGAGAGCTGGAGGGACAGAGCAGGAGAAAGAAGGGGCATGGGCTTGTACAATGGCATCTTCCCAATCCGAGCCGCAGTCAGCGGGATCTCAGCTTCTCCTAGACTTCGAGTGCTGGATAAGCCACTGTAGGGTGATGTCTGTGAAGGCAAGGGGACACTTACAGCCTCTCCCTCCGGCTGTCACCCCCTCCTGTATTTGGGCTAACAGCCTGGGGATGGGCTGCCCCTCGAGCCCCACACTGGAGCTGCCAATACTCACCGATGTTGTCCTTTTCTTTGCAGGAGATGGAGTAGCAACAAATCTCTCGGTCCTGGATGGCGGAGAGGTTCCTGCAGGAGAGGAGCAAGCTCTGGCTGCAGCCCCCTGGGGCTGCGCATCGGCAGCGACAGGAAACACTTTTGGGCAGCCTTTTTTAAGGGTCCCTTTGGACCCTGACTCCAAGACAGGGGACACTTTGGTCATGTCTCCTCAGGCTCTTGGGGACCTGCATGTGGGTTGGGCGAGGACACCAGCACACCGTGCCCATGACTGATGGCTATGCATCATCTGTGGGGGCTACACAACAGGACAGGAGGGACCCGGCCCCAAGGAGAGCCTGGCCATGAAATCACACAGTTTCCCTCCCCAAACCTCGGTTGCACAGCCCTGTGTCGAGACAGGGCAGAGAGGGTTTGGGAGCGGCATAGGGCTGGCAGCATGGGAGCTGCATAGGTGCCCACCAGAAGAGGTCCAAGGAGCAGGCATGGGTGAGCAGAGATGCTGCAACTCAGCGCAGCATCCCAGTCCTCTGGCTGCAGGGGAGGGGACCACTGCCAGCAGCGTGGAGGTGGGCAGGAGGCAGCATCAGCTGCGAAGAGGCCACACGTCGACACGGCAAAGGGTGGTGAGGTAAGGGAGAGGTACATGGATGGTGTCACACGCCGAAGCAGGATCTGACCTCCAAGCACCGAAGGCTGCTGGAGCCGCATCCCCGCACCAGGCAGAGCCACTCTGGAGAGCAGCACCCACACAGAGCCCAGCTCCACTGCCGAGCACTGAGCCGAGCCGGGCCCCAACGCCACCGTGTGGCACAAGGGACACAGCCCTGGCACTGGTGGCCATGGCGCCCAGCTCCTCCCCATCCCCACTAACGTCACCTCTGCCTGCAGATGCCTCAGGATGTCCCCAGCCACGTGTCTCTGCCAGCCCACCACAGGCACCTCAACGCCACCCCGGCTGGGGAAGGAGTAGCGGCAGAGCACGGCAGGGTGACTGTGCTGGTGGGGACACAGCAGGAACAGGGGAGGTCACACTGTGTCACAGCCCCACCACGGTCACCCAGGCCACCGGCACACTTACATCTTCTCAATGAGCTCCTTCTCATCCAAGGCACCGGGCAGGTCTCGCTTGTTCCCCAGGACTAGGACCTGCAGGAGGGGAGAGGGGACACTTGATGATCATGGCCACCAGACCAGGCAGGAACCTGTTTCTGCCACCCAGAAGACCGACCCTGCTTGAGATGCAAGACAGTCCTGACCACTTCAACAGGGTGTGCCCAGATGAAGAAAACTCCTTCAGTGGGCAATCAGAAGGCACAGCACTTCAATTAAAAGCCTTAATTAGCCCATACACAGCAGCTCCTGCGTACTCTCTAGTCCCAGTGAGAAGCTGGCCCCACAGCACATCCTCCCTGAAGGGCACCAGCATGTCTCGTGCTATCTAGGACATTCTCCCGGGAGCCTCTTTGAGCAAAAAATCAAGTGAAATGGCTAAACCCGATGGTACCAGGAAGGAGCGAGACGCAGATGCCGTGCAGAACCTGCTCTCTGCAGGCAGCCAGCCCAAAAAAGCAACGGCTGTTTGTACCCTGCACTGATCTCTCCTTACTTCAAGGCTTTTCACATCCACAAAGGCATCCTCAGACTATGCAAGGAAAATAATCACCCGGCGGGACTCGTTCATCCCTCCGGAGTGTGCCACGCGACTGTCATCTGACAAGGACAGCACTGAGGCTGCGGCCGCCTTCCTGGGGTGAGATGGGACCTCTGCAGCAGCACGGTAACGCAGTGTCCCCCAGTTTAAATTTGGAGACTTGTTCTCAAAAAAGAGCACTCAGAACGGCTGCAAATGCAGCTCATTATGTTGGGAACTTAATTTAGTTGGCAGCGAATGTTTGGGATCTGAGCAGGATCCCCAATGAGCTCCTTTCAAAGGATGCCGATTTTGGATGCTCCGTAAGCGTCCCGCCCTGGCACGTGCAGCGTGCCCCACACCACCTCCTGCAAATGTCACAGCCCAGCAGCCACTCTCCTAGGAGACGAGACCTTAATGTCCCACCATAAATAAGGTGCAAATTCATGCAAAAAGACAGATCTCACACATCAGGGGTTTTTTTTGGTCTCTTCTAAAGCTGCCTTCCCTCCTGGTTGGCCCAGCCCTGGGCTAGAAAGCATCATTGCCCAAGCAGTGCAGGGAAAAAGGAGATCCTCCACCAAGGAAGGGGATCCCCCACCTTGAATCTGCTCTGCAAGATGCAAGCCCCTCACTGCTAACCCTGGCAGCCAGCAGCTTGGGGACCACAAGCAGCCGGGGGGACCTAACCAGGCAACAGCTCACCGGGATGCCCTGGAGCTGCGGCTTGTCGAGCAGGTTGTGCAGTTCATTCTTAGAGGCCTCTATCTTCTCCTGGTCGGCAGCATCCACCATGTACCTGCAAGGGAAGGGATACCCCTGAGCGCAGGCACCGAGGTCTCCATGCCCCGGTGCTGTGTTGAGGTCTGTGCTACCACCAAACCTTCCTCACCCGACAGCTGCATCGCTCACCCACCAGTTCCCGGGCCAGTGCATGGACATTGATGGGTAACAGGATCCTTCCCCCAGGACCTCTCTTCCCAAGGAAGGCTGTGGGGTTGAGAGCCCCTCATGTCTCCCAGTGAAGTGGGGGACCTTCCTGTTCCCATCCCTGCAGGGGTCCACCCCGTTGACAGCAGGGACATGGCAGGCAAGGAGAGCCCAGACACTGCCTAGAAAAAAGAAGCTCCAAAACACACGTTGTTCCCAAGTGAGGCTTGTCTGCATGTCGCAGCTCCTTACGGAGACACCCAGAATAGAGGACAAGCGGAGAAGACGAGGAGCTCATGATGAAGAAGAGAAGATGTTGACCCAAGTTCCTGGCAGGGAGAAGGACCTGCACATCCTCTCTACGGGAGCAATCTTGGGCCTGGGGTGTGGAGCAAAGGGCGCGTGAAGCAGCAATGCTTGCTCTGGGCAGACAGGGAAGACTTAGGGAAGGATTTCGATCTTATGGGTGGACACCCATCCTGCAAAGGACAAAAGCAAAGCCAAAACTGGGGAGAGGAACTGATCAAACCAGCCTTTATTTTAAAGATCAAGAAGCTGGAAGAGAAGAAGTGAGAAACACCATCAAGCTTCATCAGGCCTTGTGGGTTTTATTAAAAACAGGAAAAGAGCCTTTAGCTACTGAAGTACTGAACACAGGAAAATGTGTATGGCTGTACTGAGAGAGAGAGGGAAAAATACCACCCAGGCACTGCCACGAGCCTTCGGCACGCTGGATGGGGCGGGAGGGCTGAGGGCAAGATAAACGGGACATGACACAGCTCAAGGCGAGGAAGGCAGACTGGACCGTGACCTGGATGGCCACAGGTCCTTTTGTTTCTTTTCAACCAGATGGGCCACTTTGCAAAAATGATGAAATTATAGAAGGAGGCAGTAAAAGGAGTGAAAAAAACTTTTTTTTCATTTCCAGCAGAACTCACTGTAATAAAAACTGTCAAGGACATGTCCCAACACGGTGACAATCAGCAAGGGCAGGACCAGACAGTGCTGTCCCAACAAACAGGACAAGTGGTCCCTCACTCCTCTTCACCTGCCAGACCTACAGTTGGGAAGGGCAGTACGGAAACCCAGCCCTCCAAAATCTCAGGGCATTGTCAGTTGGTGAAGATCACATATATCTAATGTTCTGGTTCTTGTCCTTAGGCAGCCTGCTTCCCATGAGTGTCTTCCAAGTCTCATCCCCAGCCTGGGTCGTGTTTACTGCAATGTTTGCAAGCAGGGGACATGCAGGGACACTCAAAAGACTTGCTGACAGTCAGCAGTGGGTGTTGCAGCAAAGGCACTGGCAGCTTCCCCAGCTCAGCCCTGCCCAGCACCCTTGGGTGGGCTGATGGGACTGTGCCCCCACCCCCTGGCAGGGCTCAGCATTGGCACATGAGTGATGGGGCTCTCGGCTCCCGGCGATACTCACACGATGGCACTCACTCCACGGCAGTACCGCTCCCACATGCTGCGAAACCGTGGCTGGCCACCTATGTCCCAGAGCTGTGACAGGGAGAAGGCAGCGTTACCCCACCATCCTGCCCACCACCCTGCCCACAACCCTTCCCCACACAGCCACAGCACCAGGCATGCACTGAAACCACCCCTATCCCCTCCTCTTCAGCTCAAACCTAACGAGGAAGCTCAGGTCTCAATAAAGAAAGGAGACATCTCAGGAAGGGCAGCTGGAGGGTGCTGAACGCCTCCTGCAATGTGCCTCTGCTGGCACTGGGGGACCACCTGGCAGAAGCTGGGGTGCGCCTCCCTGTGCTCACTGCACCTCCTGGCCTTCCACTGATGCACTTGCCATTTCAAAACACTCAGCACGCTCTTGGAAATGTTTCTGCAGCAGGCAGAGATCTCCAATCAGCTTTTCAAGGCCATCCCATTGATATCTCCTAGTCCAAACCGAGGCCCTTGAAAGATCCAGAAGGGGCAGAAACCTCCTCTTCCTTTGTTCTTGAGGCAGAGACCACCACTGAAAGCCATGACCTGTCTTTCCCAGCACTCCCTCCTTCAGCAAGGTGACCACATCCATGAGTCCCCACCAGCAAACCAGAGGTATGAGAAAACCTCCAGCTTTGCAGCCTGGATTGGTTCTTACTGCAGAGGTCTGGATCTCCTACATCCCTTCCCACCATCTCCTCCGGTGGGTACCTGCAGAAACCTAACAGGGCAGATCTTCCCAACTGCAGCTGGGGCTGCTGGCATCTTTCAACCTCCAGCAGAAGTGCCACCAGTCTCCCTTCACCCCACCTTTCATCCCAAGAGCCCACACTGGTGATAACATCTGCACCTTACCTTTATGGTAACGTTCCCCTTGGTGATCTTCCTCATGTTAAAGCCCACTGTCGGGATCATGTCTTCGTTGAACTGTCCTGACTGCAACAAACAAGGTGAACAAGGTGAGCATTAGGAGGCAGGGAACCCCCGCCAGCCTGCCCTGAGCAGGGCAGCGAGGCTGACAGCTTGCCTAGAAATAACCCCAAACACTCTGCCAGCCCAGCAGCAGGCATGGTGTGACCCTCCTCCTGGTCCACACCAGGAGCAAAATTAGAGCCAAGGAGATAAAATGCCTGAAGGAGAAAAATGCTGCTGTGGCTGTATGGGGTGCAGGGTGCCCTGGGTGGCCCTGTGAAGCCCCCAGCCCCACAGCGAGCTGCCGCCCCCAGCCCCAGCCTGCTGCCATCTCAGTGGGGTGGCAGAGGCTTGCCCATCCCTGCCCTTTCCAGGTGGGATTCCCAAGCCCTTCGCAGGAGGAGGCAGAGACCTTCCTCCTCTGCAGTGACCTCAGGTCAGCCGTGTAAGGCCCAAACCTCTCCCGCAAAGCCTGTTGGCAGCCCCGCAAGGAGCTGGGGCGCAGGCAGAGGACGGGCTTCCCGCCCAGGGGAGCCACCTCCTGCATTGGCTCCTTTCTGGTCATGAGTCCTGGGGGCTTTGGCATGTTTCCTGCTTTGGATCATTTACAGCCCAGCCCAAACCAGACTGACTTCTGCTTTCCTACAAGCCTGCCGCCTGCCTGCGCGTGAGAGCCGGGTGCTCGCGCTGGGTGACATGGGGGGATGTAAAGGGTCCCCTCTCCTGCTCCCCAGGAGCTGCCATCATGTGTCCTCCGGCAGTGCAGCTCTGAGCCACGTCAGGCATGAAATGCATGAAATCACTGCAGATTTGCAGCATCCCAGTGCTGCTGAGAAACTAGGTTAGTCTTGTCAGAGTGGTGAACAGGAACAGTCTCTCTGCCGCCGCGGGGAGATGCTGACTCGCCAGCCCACATGCCTGGCACCACACTGGAGGGACAGGACGGCACTGGTCTGCTAAAGCCCACCCCACCTTCCAGTTTGCTGCTCAAATCGCAACACCACGACATGGCCCTGGACTGAGCAGCACAGAGGGATGCTTCATGCAGCCCTGGGGCAGGAGCTGCCACAGCCCTTCACCCTCTGCCCCTAGCAGCCTCCCGCCTGGCAGGCAGCCTCACTGGCACTCAAAACAGGATAATCTTCTTTGGTTTTTAAATGCATCCTTGTGGAAGGCCCTGCTGTGGGATGCCAGGGAAGCCAATGGGGAAGACAGTTTGATAACCAGGATAACACGGTGCTGAGGCCTTTGCCCATTGTTGCCAGAAACCTGCAGGAATCACCAACCGCAGCCGAACTCATCCCAGCAGCTCTTTACTGGCTTAAAATCTCTGTTTCTCTAGGACTTTTCTGGGTTTTCTTTCAGTTAACACAAACCTCAAAAAGGGAAGGCAATTTATGCCATTTTCTGATAAGCAGAATTCTGTGCCTCATTGAGCCAACGGTTCTTCCAGACCCCCCACATCAGCGAGTCCCCAGGGTTTTCCTGACCTCTTCCAACGGTTCTGCAACACGCGCCACTTCCCTTTTTCATTTCTCTTTTGTGTTCATCAGCAAAGCCTGGGAGCCAAGGAGTGTCCAAGCCACAGTGCACCCAGCAACCATGCCGGGGACTGGCGGGGAAGGGCATGGGGGGAGAGGAGGGGAAGCAGAGAGGAATCCCTCTACCACCGTCCGACACAGGGGACGTCTCCTGTGGACTGAAGTCCAACACACAATTTGGCTTTATGGACCAGGTTTTAAGGAATTATCAAGCTTTGATCAGAAGACGTAGAGAGCAACGGCAGAAGAGCTCTCTGAAGCTGCAGGCACCTCCATCGGGGATCCTGGACCACATCACAGGAACCGCTGGCTGTGTGAAAGCCACCTTAGACATGGTTCAGGTGTAATGGCTCTTCTTCCAGGAAAAGATAGGCTGCAGGAGCCAGGAGTCACCTCTGCTTTCCTCTGCCAGAGATGGGAGCGAGCACATCTCCGTAAGCAAAGCACAGCCTTGCTCCCTGCCCTAAATCACAGAATCACAGAATCACAGAATGGTTAGGGTTGGAAGGGACCTCTGGAGATCATCTAGTCCAACCCCCCTGCCAGAGCAGGGTCACCTACAGCACGTTGCACAGGACAGCGGTTGGAAGGGACCTCTGGAGATCATCTAGTCCAACCCTCCTGCCAGAGCAGGGTCACCTACAGCACGTTACACAGGACAGCGTCCAGGCGGGTTTTGAATGTCTCCAGAGTGGGAGACTCCACCACCTCTCTGGGCAGCCTGTTCCAGTGCTCCACTACCCTCAAAGTAAAGAAGTTCCTTCTCATGTTAAGATGGAACTTCCTATGTTCAAGTTTATGCCCATTACCCCTCGTCCTATCACTGGGTGCCACTGAAAAAAGACTACTCCCATCCCCCTGGCATCCTCCCATTAAGTATTTGTATGTATTAATAAGATCCCCCCTCAATCTTCTTTTCTCTAGACTAAAGAGACCCAAGTCCCTCAGCCTTTCCTCATAAGAAAGGTGCTCCAGTCCCCTAATCATCTTTGTTGCCCTTTGCTGGACCCTCTCCAGCAGTTCCCTGTCTTTCTTGAACTGGGGAGCCCAGAACTGGACACAGTACTCCAGATGCGGTCTCACCAGGGCAGAGTAGAGGGGGAGGATGACCTCCCTCGACCTGCTGGCCACACTCTTCTTGATGCACCCCAGGATGCCATTCGCCTTCTTGGCCGCCAGGGCACATTGCTGGCTCATGGTCATCCTGTTGTCCACCAGGACTCCCAGGTCCCTCTCCACAGAGCTGCTCTCCAGGAGGTCAGCCCCCAACCTGTACTGGTGCATGGGGTTATTCCTCCCCAGGTGCAGTACCCTACACTTACCCTTGTTGAACTTCATAAGGTTTCTTTCTGCCCAACTCTCCAGCCTGGCGAGGTCACGCTGTAAGGCAGCACAGCCTTCTGGCGTGTCAGCCACTCCTCCCAGTTTTGTGTCATCAGCAAACTTGCTGATGGTACACTCTATCCCTTCATCCAGATCATTGATGAATATGTTGAACAAAACTGGGCCCAGTACTGACCCCTGAGGGACACCACTTGTTACTAACCTCCAACTAGACTCTGCGCCACTAACCACAACCCTCTGAGCTCTATCTGTGAGCCAGTTCTCAATCCACCTCACCGTCCATTCATCTAAGCCACACTTCCTAAGCTTTCCTGTGAGGATGATGTGGGAGACAGTGTCGAAAGCCTTGCCAAAGTCAAGGTAGACAACATCCACTGCCCTCCCCTCATCCACCCATCTAGTTACTTTGTCATAGAAGGCTATCAGATTAGTCAGACATGACTTCCCCTTGGTGAATCCATGTTGACTACTTCTGATAATCTTCTTTTCATCCAGGTGCTTTGAGATGACTCCCAGAACAAGCTGCTCCATCATCTTCCCAGGGATGGAGGTGAGGCTGACCGGCCTGTAGTTTCCCGGGTCATCCTTCCTGCCCTTTTTGAAGACTGGAGTGACATTGGCTATCCTCCAGTCCTCAGGCACCTCACCTGTCCTCCAGGACCTTTCAAAGATAATGGAGAGAGGCCCAGCAATGACTTCCCCCAGCTCCCTCAGCACCCGAGGGTGCATCCCATCAGGCCCCATGGATTTATGTATATCCAATTTATCTAACTGATCTTTAACGTGTTCCTTGTTAACCAAGGGATAGTCTTGTTTCCCCCAGACTTTCTCTGTTACCTGCAAAGTCTGGGTCTCACAAGGACTGGCCCGAACAGTGAAGACAGAAGCAAAGAAGGCATTTAGCAACTCCGCCTTCTCTGCATCATCCGTCACCACAGCACCTGTCTCATTCAACAACGGGCCCACATTTTCCCTAGTTTTCCTTTTGTCTCCTATATACTTAAAGAAACCCTTCCTGTTGGCCTTGACATCCCTCGCCAGGTTCAATTCCAAGGCTGCCTTGGCTTTCCTTGTTTCCTCCCTGCATACCTGCACCTCCCATGGTGTGGCACAGCACTGAGTCCCTGCCAAACCCTGTCCAAGCTCCAACCTGGAGAGAAATGCAGGGGTTTGGTTTCTCACCTGGAACCTCCCTGACCGGCTTTGTGCACAGCGCAGGGTGGGAGCGCCCAGCAGCCGGGAGCTTTGCTTGCAAAGCTGCTGCTCCTCCAGGAGCTCTTCTCCAAAATGGTTGGTTAAAGACCAGCCCCACTGCACGGGCTTGCTCTGGCCCCCCAGCACGGGCTTCCTCTGGCCCCCCAGCACATCTTGCACGGCCAAGGCAAGCTGTGACAGCCCCACAGACAGATGCTTGCTTCAGAGTTGCCCATTCGGATGGGAAAAAGGCAAATTCAACGCAAGCCTTTGCAACATTTCCATTCGACAGCGGGTCTTACAGCTCTTTCGGCTGGGAGCACAGCACAGCCCTCCCAGGGAACCCAGAGACCTGGGAAGGGGGGCTGCCACCCAGAGCCAGATGGGATGGAGCTATCCCAGGGCTGGCGGCAAGAAGGAAGAGCTGCACGGGTCTGAGAATGAGACAATCCCAACTTTTGCCCCAAATCCTCAGCATGCTTTGGTTTTAAAACCTCTGTGCAGAGGGATCACGCTGAAGGGACCTGTGTTGGCCAGATGCCACCACTGTGGGCAGGCCAGCAGGGATGCTGCAGGACAGGGTTGGGCAACCAGTCCCCCTCCACCCCAAAGCAGATGGTCCCACCACCACCACCTGCAATTAACACACAGGGTCTGGCTCTGCAGCACCCCTCAGCTTGGAAATTCAACATTGCAGCCTTTCAGCATGGTGGAAAACCCATGGGCCCCTCCTGGCCGGCTGCTGGTGATGCTACCACAGCTGAAACCGGCTGTGCTGCCCTCCCCACGGGCCCTATCTCCAGGGCACTCAGATCTCGAAAGCAAAAATGGGATCCGGGGACAAGCCCGCAGAAGGCAGCCAGGCCATACACCAGCTGACCCTGCTGAGGGTGATGCCGGTATGATCACTACTGCCAGTAAGCCCACAAGAGTCAGGCAAGATGATGC